CTTCTGGAGGAGAAGTGCATTCGTTACCTTCCTGTTTGCTCGGTATGCGACCATGTACACCGGGAACGAAATTAACTCGATGATTAACTAGAACCAAACACCTCTGAGTCAAAAAAAATCAAATGACGGACCTTTGAATTTTTGATCATTTAAAACTATGAGCCACTTTTTGAGGTGAAGTGCATTCGTTACCTTCCCGTTTGCTCGGTACGCGGAGGAGGAGGTTACTTAATTCGACATGTATATATATATATATTTTTTTTTTATGTCTGTTCACCGATTACGCCGAGATGGCTTGACCAATCGGAGTGAATTCTGTTGCATCCTGTAGAGAATGTTCCCTAGGTGATCCTGCTGACAAGACTTTTTGCGATTTGTCATTTTTTTACCCGTCTTTTTACCAAAAAACCGTGATTTTTAGGTACGTCGAGATGGCTTGATGAATCGGAGTGAAACCTCTTGCATCTTGTCGAATATTTCTTCCAGTTGGTCGCGTAAAAGGAACATTTTGTGATTTGTCATTTTTTACCCGTTTTTTTTTTTAAACAGAAACATTTTGTCTTACTTCTTACTCCGAGACGGATGGACCAATCAGATTGAAACTTCTTGCATCTGGAGGAGCATTTGCCATTTGGTCCCATAACAAAACATTTGTTCTTTTCTTATTGTTTACCACTTTATATCACTTTTTATCGCAAAAAGCGTACTATTTCACGTATGTTTGGCCTGAAACCGATGAAATCGATGAAACCCGTTACATTTTGCTGCCGGAGAGGTTTTCGCAATAATCACAGATGCAAAAATTTATGAATTTCTGTGTTGTTTATAACTATTGTTATCGCAAAATTCCTATTATATGATGTAACTCGGTGAGGAAATTACCGAGCGCGATGGAACTTTCCGCATTTCATAATAGATGAATTCGTGATGTTCCCATTTGCAAAAATTTATGGACACTTTTATTGTTTAAAATCATTGTTGGTGCAAAATTGTTATGCTTTTGTGTAGCTCGACAAGAAATTTACCAAACGCAATCAATCCTTTGACATGTATTTGCACATGTATTCCTAATAATCCCATTTGCAATTATACAGGGTTTCCAAAAAAAGTTGGATGTCCTTGAATAGAGTGTTTCGGGGGGGGGGGGGGGTTTGAAACAATTTTTTCTTAAATGTGAAAATGTTGTTCGAGGCTGCGGTAGCATAGGCCCCGCAAGCGCTCCTCCGGCACACTCGCGTTCTGATTGGTCGGAAGTCTCTGTTTCTGGAATATCTCCTTAACAAAGCCTCGAGCAACATTTTCGTTAAGGCAAAATTGTTTCAACCCCCCCTCCCCCGCGGAACAAGCCTTTTCAAGGACCTCCAACGATTTTGAGTCATCCTGTATATTGCTCATAACTGTTGTTATTGCATAAAAGCTATTGGTTATAGATTGCCAATAAAAAGAGTAAAATAAAATAATTTTTTGGAAAAAAAATTTAATCAACTTAAAAAAAGGTACAGTGAAAAGTATGAAACAATTTCCAGTCAATTTATATGAATACGCACTAGCTCTAGATATAATTGTTTAAAAGTATGGGAAAATGCAATGAAAAGCATGAAATAATTTCTAGTTAATATATATAAATCTGTGTTCTCGGCAGAGCACTCTGCATTACCGACATAGCGATCTGCATTATTGGCCGAGCAATCTACATTACCGACAGAGCAGTCGGCATTCACGGCAGAGCACTCTGCATTACCGACAGTGCGATCTGTATTACTTATATAGAAACCTACATTACCGACGGAGCAATACGCGTTATCGACCGAGCAGTCTACATTACCGACGGAGCAATCTGCGTTATCGACCGAGAAGTCTACATTACCGACGGAGCAATCTGCGTTATCGGCCGAGCACTCTGCATTACCGACA